GAAAGCCAGTATAATTGGAGCAGATTTGCTGTTGATTTTTCTTTTGTGATGGGTGTTTTACTGAAAGGCTTATTGGACCATTATGCTTCTGTTCTTCTCCTTTGTGTGTAAAGTATGCTTTTGCTTTGGCTTTACAAGAATTTTAAAAGATAACTGGAACTTCGCTGGTGGAGCAGTGGTTAAGAATCTGCCTGCCAATGCAGGGGACATGGGTTTGAGCCCTGGTCCGGGAAGATCCCACATGCCGCGGAGCAAATAAGCCCTCAAGCCACAACTGCTGAGCCCGTGTGCCACAACTACTGAAGCCTGCGTGCCTAGAGCCCATGCTCTGCAACAATAGAAGCCCCCACAATGAGAAGCCCGCACAGCACAATGCAGAGTAGCCCCCGCTCGCCGCAACTAGAGAAAGCCCGCGTGCAGGAATGAAGACCCAACACAGCCAAAAATAAATAAATAAAATAAATTTATTTTTTAAAAAACCCTATTTAACAGCTAATATGATCTTTTAATTACAGTCTTTTCTGATTATTAAAATAATTTGTACTTATGAAACTTTTGTAAATTAAAGAAAAAATTCAAGCTGTTTATTGAAATATAATTTGTATACAATAAGATTCATTGATTTTACTTATTTATTTTAATTAATTTATTTGTTTTTTATTTTTGGCTGTGTTGCGTCGTCATTGCTGTGCGCGGGCTTTCTCTAGTTATGAGCAGGGGTTACTTTTCTTTGCGGTGCACGGGCTTATTGTCGTGGCTTCTCTTGTTGCGGAGCATGGGCTCCAGGCGTGCAGGCTTCAATAGTTGTGGTACGTGGGCTCAGTAGTGTGGCTTGAGGCCTCAGTAGTTGTGGCTTGCGGGCTCTAGAGCACAGGCTCAGTAGTTTTGGCACACGGGCTTAGTTGCTCTGCGACATGTGGGATCTTCCCAGGCCAGGGCTCAAACCCATGTCCCTTGCATTGGCAGGTGGCTTCTTAACCACTGCGCTACCAGGGAAGCCCCAAGATTTATTGATTTTAAGTCTATAATTTGATGAGTTTTGACAAATTTATGCAGCCATGTAATCACTGTTCCAGTCACAGCATAGAACATTTTCATTATCCCTAAAGTTCTCTTGGACCTCTTTGCAGTCAGTCCTATTCCCCTACCTCTGCCCCCTGGCAACTGCTTATCTACCTTCTGCTATTACAGTTTTGCTTTTTCTTGAATGTCGTATAAATGGAATCACACAGTATATAGTCTTTTGTGATTGGCTTTTTTCAATTAACATAATGTGGTTTTTTTTGGTTTTTTTTTTGCGGTACGCGGGCTTCTCACCGCTGTGGCCTCTCCTGTTGTGGAGCACAGGCTCCGGACGTGCAGACTCAGCGGCCATGGCCCACGGGCCCAGCCGCTCCACAGCATGTGGGATCTTCCCGGACCAGGGCACGAACCCGCGTCCCCTGCATTGGCAGTCGGACTCTCAACCACTGCGCCACCAGGGAAGCCCAACGTAATGCTTTTGTGATTAATCTTCGTTGTTGCTATATACATACATTCCTTTTATTGCTGAATAATATTCCATTATATGGATACACCACAGTTTGTTTATTCATTCACCCATTTGATGGACATTTGGGTTGTTCCCACCTTTTGGCTATGGTGAATAGTGCTGCTGTGAACATTTGTGTACAAGTCTTTATGTGGACATTTGTTTTCATTTCTTTTAGGTAAATACCTGTGAGTAGGATTACTGGGTCATATAATAAGTATATGTCTAACTTAATAAGAAACTGCCAAACTGTTTTCCAAGATGGCTGTACTTCTTTTATTCATACCAGCAACGTTTGAGAATTCCAGTGACGGACCCTGGTGGTATAGTCATGGGTTGTGTATGGATGTGTGCAGATGTGGGCAGTGGCTCTGGGCTCATGGAGAGGAGGTGCAGATGGTCAAGGTTATTCATCCACCATTGGGCTAGTGTGCTTCACACCATCTCCTGTGACTGCCCAACCCTGGGGCTTTTCTTGAGGCAGAGTAAGTAGCCCCAGCAGAGCCCATTTGTAGCCTCATTAACCACATTCTAGATGTGTGAGCTAAGGGCCCAGGGCTTTTCGTGAGTCATAGTTGTTTTATTTGCAATATTTTGTAAGTTAAGACTATTAAGGCATTGTTTCCAGCAGATCCTTAAACTAATTTGATAGATTTAGGGGGATGGGCTATGGGGGAAATCTGTGTCTTGTCCTAGGATGAATCATGTTCTGTGTTTCTTACCTATCAATAGTTTCATGGACAAACGTGAGGCAATTTGGAAAGCTAAAATAGATGCTAAATCTGAAGCCAGTGTTTTATGGTTATTCCCTATCTCACTAGATTCAGGGTCCACACATCACATGGACTTCTCAGTAACCATTAATATTCTAGGATTCCTGGGAAACTGAGCCTTAGGCCTCAGATGTTTAAAAACCTTTAAGAGATCCAACTGCTCAAACCACATGTGGAACAGAAAAAGAGTAGCAGTGAAACAGAGCAGGTGCTTTGGGCATTTTTCTTTCTTCTGACCAGGCTGAAGCCACTAGAGAAGAAGCTGATCTGGGGTGTAATCCTTGGGAAGTTGATCCTTCATTTTACCACAGGGATAGGGTCTGTAAGGGACCCTAGAACAAAAGCTGCATTTCTTTGTCTGAAGCCCCAAATGTAAGAAGTATGTTGTATAGAGAAGCCATAGTTATCTTCACATTGAGAGATTGAACATAATTGAAATCAAAGAATCACAAAACAGGACTTAACCTTATTATGTGCAATGCAATGATTTTTACTGTTTTTTCCTATTTGATTAAAACAAACTGCTGGTTACTACTCACTAATTTGATTACACCACCCACAGAGTAGAGATCTACCCCAGGCCTCTCCTCCTCATTTTACAGACCAGAAAACTGGAACCCAAAGGGAGCAGGGACTTGGAATCTTCCTCCAAGCAATTGAATGGCAGAACTGGGACTAGAATCTGGCTCCACCTCACTACAGGATCAGTTTTCTCCCTAATTCTACCATTTAGGAGTTTCCTCTGTCAACAGGCTTGGCACAGGCGAGAAAGGGCCTTATTTTCCTTACCTAAGATGATTCTTCTCCGGGGAGCAATGTCCTATGGACTGCCAGAGTTGGGTGCTGGTGGGAGGGTTGGCAAGGTTCCGTGTCAAGGTTCCAGCAGCTAATGAACACACGGGAGACCTGGGAGAAGGAGGTATAGACCCTCACTAGGCACCAGCACCTCCTTCTCCTCTTGGCTCTCAACCACTGTGCCATCAGGGAAGCCCTGTCCCATATACTTCTAAGTGCTATACCAAGGCAGATGTGCCAGAGACCTTGGGCCCCAGAGGCAGCCGTGTGGGGGCATCCAACAGATTGAGGTTCATTTGGAAACTGTGGCTTCTTGTCCCTAGCCCTGGATGAGTTTCCTCAGCTCCCAGAATCAGCTTCATTGTTTCCAACAGGGAGAGAGGTGTCTACCTCATAGAAAGTATCCTGAGGACCATATGAAGTAAGTTCCTATAGTGAGCCTAGCATAGACTGGTGTGCTTTACCCACCTTAGAGGACAGTGGGCAAATCTCCAGCCAACCCATTCTCACCACCACCATCTCAGTTGGAGTCATGGGAGTTGGAGGAGTTCCCAGTAAGAAACCTGTACAGATACTGAAATGTAGCCCAAGCCCCGTTAGTAGTGCTAGTGGCAACTGTGTAGTCTGTAAATTATAGACAGAAAACAGAAGGAGGTTCACAGACCCTGAAACGGTCCACAGGCGCATAGAGGTGTGCTTTGCTGAGATCCAGTGTGCTTGGGGATCTGAAGTCAGGTCTAAGTTTCTGGATCTCAGTGAATGAGACCCCTGAGTGCCCCAAGAATGCAGCTTTGGTTTAAAGGTGTGCCCCAGCTTTTGGAGATCTGGATAGAATGGATAAAAATAGTTGGTGACCTAGAACACTGTGTATCTTTTTAAAAGGAGTTAGCCAGCCTCGATCAGTTGTTTTTCGATACAGACGTTAATCATTAAAGCTAGGCCCAAGCTCCACTGCTAATAAGGTTAATGGGGCTTGTCTTTGGCCTTGAGCAGGGAAGTGTGTGCACCCTGGGGGAGTAAATCTTACTAGATGGTATGTAAGTAGGTTTTCCCTTTAAACGCATTTTATAAAAACATAATTAACGGGGCATCCCTGGTGGCGCAGTGGTTGAGAGTCCACCTGCTGATGCAGGGGACACGGGTTCGTGCCCCGGTCCCGGAAGATCCCACATGCTGTGGAGTGGCTAGGCCGGTGAGCCATGGCTGCTGAGCCTGTGCGTCCGGAGCCTGTGCTCCGCAACGGGAGAGGCCACAACAGTGAGAGGCCCGCATACCGCAAAAAAAAAAAATTAACGACCAAGAGTGAACCCTAATGTAAACTGTGGTGCTGTATCAGTTTAGATTCATCATCATATGTAACAAGTGTACCACTCTGATGGATATTGATAATGGAGGAGGCTGTCCATGCATATGTGGGGCAGATGGGAAATTTCTGTATTTTCTCAATTTTGCCATGAACCTAAAACTGCTCTAAAAAAATAAAGTCTATTAAAATATATTTATATAATTAATGGAGGGACTTGGATATAAATTACTGTAAGTTTAACAATTTTATTAGAAAATGGTAAGATTTAATCAGAATATTAGGTTTGAAATTGTGATTTTACCTAAAATCACAATTTCGTCGTCGTGGCTTCGCGGTAGTGGCTTTCTAACGCCTGGTGGGGTGACTGGGGCTGTTTAGGGGTCCCGCAACCAGCCCCTGCCAGTCGGCTTCGGCCCGCGGGGGAGAGCTCTGGCTGCTTGTTTCTGTGGGAGGAGGCGGGGCCGAAGTGGGCGGCGTGGGCGGGACCCCGCGGGAGCTCAGGCTGTTTTGTCTTTATGCTGGAAGAGGAGGGCTAGCGCCTCAGAGGCGGTTCCTGGCCCTTTCCAACTCCGTTGTTACTCTTTGCTTCCGGCAGAGCGTCCTGGCCCACGCAACCGAGGAGCTGAGGCCAGACAGACGGACGCACGGGCAGACGACAGAGGACGCGCTGGCCGCTGCACCCCGCTGCCTCCCCCTTCTCCCTGCTGCCTGCACCTGGAGGATGAGCCCAGCCTTCAGGGCTATGGACGTGGAGCCCCGCGCCAAGGGCATCCTGCTGGAGCCCTTTGTCCACCAGGTCGGGGGGCACTCGTGCGTGCTCCGCTTCAACGAGACGACCCTGTGCAAGCCTCTGGTCCCGAGGGAGCACCAGTTCTACGAGACCCTCCCTGCGGAGATGCGCAAATTCACTCCCCAGTACAAAGGTGAGCCCCCAGCTGCTGTAGGGGTCGCCAGCGCCTGGCAAGGACATGCAAGGCGTCGCGGCCAAGGAAAGCCCAGGCAGCCATCCCCGGAGCCCTCACCCCTCCCACTCACTCTGTGTTTTCCCTCCTCTTGGCCCTCCGCCCAGCACCTCACACCCTCAGTTTTCAAGTCCCGGTAAGATTGCTCAATTCTGTTTTGTTTTGTGGGTTTGTTTTGAGTTTATTTTTGGTGGAAGTGTAGTTGTGTTTTATGTTCAGGTGTCTCTTTATCTCGGTAACCCATAGTCCCCCATGAGGAGACATCCGGGGAAGACTGGGAGAATTTTACCCAGAATACTTGCCGCCTCCTTTTTGTCCTCCGGGAAACCAGAAGCCCTGTTGATTAGGTAGGCTGGGAGCAGAGTTGAGTCAGATGGAATGCAGGAGTGGGAGGCTTGTGCTGATTAGCTGAAGCCCTTTGCTATTACGGAATGTCCCCGAAATGGCTATATTACGGCAACCCTTTGATTCACATGTGGTGACTCTTTCTTCCTTTTTATAATGCATTTTGGTGGGGGTGGGGGGGAATCAGCAGCCAACAGCATGGTGTGGTCTTTCCTGGGGAGGGCGGAGATCCTTTGTAAATCAGGAAGAATCCATTAAGGAAATTAATTTTAAAGTTGCATTACCTGGTTATGCAAAAGACTCTTGAACAACTTGGGTTCTTCTGGAACTGTTGAAACATGCTCTTTGAAGACAGAATGTACTGGGCGTCTCTCTTTGCACTCTGAATATGCATGTGTGTTGCGGTCGGGGTGGGGGAGTCGGGGGCCCTCACTTGGTCCTTCTCTGTTGTTTTTTCCAGGACAAAGCCAAAGGCCCCTTGTTAGCTGGCTGCCCTGCCCCCATTTTTTCCCCTGGTTCTTTTCCCATGGCCACAGGAAAATGTGGTCCCCTGAATTCCCCACCCCGGCTCCTCTGCGCCCAGAGCCAGGTACCACCTCAGAAGTGTCGTCTCTCTGAGCACGCATTCCCCTGCAGCAAGGACTGAGCAAATTGAGTGATCCCAGGCCACAGAGGCTTGGGAGGAAAGGTGTTCAGCCAGTCGGCTGTAAGGCGCTCGTCGGCACCTGCTGAAACACTCTCACCTGACAGCCCCCTCCTCAAAGACTGTCTAATTACACATGGCAGGTTCTAGAGACTCGGGGAAAGCTGCTTTCAAGGCCACTACGCATCTGTGCTCCCAGCCCAACCCTATTTGCCTTGTGTTCATTTTGTTCTTTTGTGACATGAGACTGCAAAGACCAATAAAGCAATATATTCAAGAAGGGCAAAAGGCTTGGGGTGCCCAGTGGGGGGCGCTGCAAGAAGCCTTTGCTAGGGTGTCTTTTGTGCTGTGTGGTTTGTTTCGTTTGCTCCTTTATTTTGTTTTGCTTGCCCAGTCTTCCCGTTGGATGCTTCTTACCCCTCAGGCAAATCTCTGTTCAGGCTCTGCTTTAAAGCAAGCCTCAAGGCTGTTGGAATTTCTGTTTAGGGCCTTAAAAATTCCCACAAGATATAAAGAGCAAATGTTTTTACGTCTCTCTTAGGATTAGAAGAATTACATAAAAATTAATAAACATTTTCAATGATGGAAAAATGTGTCTTGTAATTCTTTGGCTTTTGCCTTGTTGAGTGCATCAGAGAGGAAGACTCTCAGCCATGTTTGCTCCTTAATTGCTTGTCTTGTATGGTGTCATCTTTTCTAGATGTTTTGATGTTTGTTAGGTTTGCAGATGAGTTTGGGGCCTCTGGCAACATAGAGACTAAGGAACAGGGTAAGAAAAAAATAAATGTTACAATCATGTTATTTGTAACACATCTTCCTGTGGAATTAAAAGTCCTCTCTGTTCCTCACCCTTCTTCCAGGTGTGGTATCTGTGCGCTTTGAAGAAGATGAAGACAGGAACTTGTGTTTAATAGCATATCCATTAAAAGGGGACCATGGAACTATGGACAGTGTAGATAACTCAGACTGTGAACCAAAAAGTAAGCTGCTAAGGTGGACGAACAAAAAACATCACGTCCTAGAAACAGAAAAGATCCCTAAGGACTGGGTGCGGCAGCACCGGAAGGAGGAGAAGATGAAGAGGTGGGTATAGACTGAGAGGAGACTGAGCTCCGTGGGAGAGGAGGGATCTCAGTTACAGCCCAGTCCCCTAGGGCTAAGGACTCACACTATGGACTTATTAGTAGGTACCTCGTCACTCAGTCGTCAGTTCCCACATGGTGTGCCCAGCTTCTCTTTAATTGACTCTGAGTTATGTCATGCCATTTCGGGTAAAACACTGTAGTGGCAGCTGTAAAAAAGTTCCAGTCACTCACTCCTCCTTCATCTGCCCTGTGCCAGGCCATATGTGGCATCCTGGGGATGTAGCAGTGACCCAGACAGAAGCCATTCCATCACCTCAGGTTGTTCACTGATAGTGGGAGACAGAATGGTCAGTTGGGCATCCCCAAATCTTGGGGATCCCCGTAGGCAGAGCGCTCCAAGTGCCACACCTTGGCAGAGCTTGTGAAAAGATAAATTATATATATATTAAAAACGTAGCTAAGTAGGTTGACTTATTCTCATGGAATTTCAGTCTCCAGCATTCTGAGTCAGGGAACCTGGATGTTCCAGAAGCCAGGGGGTGTACTGCCTAGAAGAAGAGGGCAGTGAAGGCTGCCTTGCAGGGTGCAGGCTGGGGGCAGAGGTTGTTCTTTCATCGAAGGTTTTCCTTACTGTAGAAAAACAGTGAGCTGACACCACCACCCCCTTTTTTTTTTTTTTTTTTTCCTTGCGTTATGCGGGCCTCTCACTGTTGTGGCCTCTCCCATTTGCGGAGCACAGGCTCCGGACGCGCAGGCTCAGCGGCCATGGCTCACGGGCCCAGCCGCTCCGCGGCATGTGGGATCTTCCTGAAACGGGGCACGAACCCGCGTCTCCTGCATCGGCAGGCGGACTCTCAAGCACTGCGCCACCAGGGAAGCCCACCCCCTTTTTTTTTAAATCAGCGGTCTTGGGACTTCTCTGGGGGTTCAGTGGTTAAGACTCTGCACTCCCAATGCACGGGTTTGATCCCTGGTTGGGGAACTAAGATTCTGCATGCTGCGCAGCCTAAAACGTTAAAAAAAAAAAGAAAATAAATAAAGATTAAAGTTTCTAAATCAATCAATCAACTGTTGAGGTATAATATACTATGGTAAATGAAGTGTTTACTGTGTACACTAAAACAACCACCACATCAAGGTATGAAACTTCCTATCACTCCAGAAAGTTCCTTCATGCCTTTTTGCCCCTGAGTTTTGATAAGACATTATGATTTACTGGCTCCTTGTCTCTTTATAGCCATAAGTTAGAAGAAGAATTTGAGTGGCTGAAGAAATCTGAAGTCTTGTACTACAGTGTAGAGAAAAAGGGGAATGTCAGTTCCCAGCTTAAACACTACAACCCTTGGAGCATGAAGTGTCACCAGCAACAGTTACAGAGAATGAAGGAGAATGCAAAACATCGGAACCAGTACAGTATCCTTTGTTCATAGGGCATCTCTGCCTTGGGGAGAAGGGAGGGCAAGTGAGAGGAGACCCTACGAGCTTGGAGAGAGAAATTGAATTTTTTTTTAGTCATGGTTGTGCTAGGACACCCTACGTGGTAACTGTGGGCAGATATTACTTCCCTCAGGGCCAAAGCCTGGTCTGGGAGTGCAGGTGCTGGGGAGGGAGTCTGATGGGTTCCTGGGGGTCTGGGGCACCTCATGGAGGGACCAACCTGCACCCGGGGGGCTTTAGCCTGGAGTGCAAGGATCTGGTTCGTGTTTTCAGACTTCTACAGAAGTCCCCAAATAGTGCTTAACTGCCAGGGTCTGCGGTGGGGTAGGACTGACCTTTCAGGCTGGTTCACCAGGTTAGCACATGAAGAAAACACAGGGTCCTTTCTTTTTTTTGGAGTCAGGGAACCTGGATGTACCAGATAGAATAATGCATTGAGCCTCGAAGTACCAGTCACCAAGGCTCAGCAGTTGGTTAACCCAGTCGTGTCAGTCTTCTGTCATGACTGTCTCTATACACCCAGCAGCCCCCAGCTGAACACTCTCTGAAGCAAGTGTCAGATATTTCATTTCATCTGTATACACCTCAGCATGTATCTCTGAAAGATAAAGGTATTTTAAAACATTAATACCATTATTACTCCTTGAAAAGTGGACAGTAATTCCTTACTATCAAATATCTAATCTGTGACCCCATTTTCCTAATTGTCTCATAAATATTTTTGTTGATAATTTGCTTGAATGGGGCTCCAAATGAGGTTCACACATTGCATTTCGTTGAAATGTTTAAGTCTTTTAAAATACCCTTTCTGGTTTTTCTTCTTGGAAATTTCTTGTCAAAGAAACTGGGTCTTCTAGAGTTTCCCACCATCTGGATTTTACTGAATACATCCTGTGGTGTCTTTTATACGTTTCTCTTTCCCCTCTGTTTCCATTGAGTTGATAATTTTATCTACAAGCTTGATCAGATTCAGGTTCAGTTTTGGGGGGGTGGGGGCAGGAATCCCTCAGAGATGGTATTGTAGCTGTCCATTGGGAAGCACAGTGTTTTGTTGTCTTTCTCTTTTGTATTGCAGTTGCCTTAGAGCCATTTTTTCATTAGGTGATTTTCTTATTTTGTCATTCCTTTTTCATTCATTAGCTGGAATCCTTCTGTAAAGAGAAACTCTTCCTCATCAACTATATGCTTATCCTGAGGTATAGTTCATATAGGAAAGGCAGGTTAAGAGTTTATTTTCCTTTGTTTACTAGATTTAGAATAAAGAGATGGTTTCTTAACACCCTCCAAAGGTGACCAGTGAGGTTTTCAGCATTGTTATGAACCCATGAATTTAAACATATTTGACGTGTTTTAGTCCATTGCAGTTATCTTTACTGATGCTCAAATTGTCCCATGCTTGGCAAGTGGGAGCCTTTCAAAATAGGCTCCTGAGTCATTTTGACACAATCACAATAGTCTCTGATGGCTGTCTTTCCCATATGAAGAACTGGTACAGGCTCGTGTATATTTCATACTCCAGATGTGAATTCAGTCATTCTTCTACACCAGGGGTTGCAAACTTTTTCAGTAAACGGCCAGTGAATATTTTACGCTTTGCAGGCCGTACACTGACTGCATCACAACTCTGCCATTTGTACCCTGAAAGCAGCCATAGATGATAATGTAAATGAATGAATGTGGCTGTATTCCAATAAAACTCTATTTATGGTCACTGAGATTTGAATTTCATTCAATTTTCATGTGTCATGAAGTATTACATACAGTTTTTTTTTAATTCTTATTTTTACTATGATTTTTTTAACATCTTTATTGGAGTATAATTGCTTTACAATGGTGTGTTAGTTTCTGCTTTATAACAGTGAATCAGCTATACATATACATATATCCCCATATTTCCTCTCTCTTGCATCTCCCTCCCACTCTCCCTGTCCCACCCCATACAGTTTTTGACCTCTTAGAAATATAAGAATAGGGCTTCCCTCGTAGTGCAGTGGTTAAGAATCCGCCTGACAATGCAGGGGACATGGGTTCAAGCCCTGGTCCAGGAAGGTCCCGCATGCCACGGAGCAACTAAGCCCGTGTGCTACAACTACTGAGCCTGTGCTCTAGAGCCCACAAGCCGCAACTACTGAGCCTACATGCCACAACTACCAAAGCCCACATGCCACAACTACCAAAGCCCACGCACCTAGATCCCGTGCTCCGCAACAAGAGAAGGTGCTGCAGTGAGAAGCTGGTGCACAACAACAAAAAGTAGCCCCCATTAGCCACAACTAGAGAAAGCCTGTGCACAGCAACAAAGACCCAACACAGCCATAAATAAGTAAATAAGTAAATGAATGAATGAATGAATGAATTAAAAAATATATAAGGGCTTCCCTGGTGGCGCAGTGGTTGAGAGTCCGCCTGCCGATGCAGGGGACACGGGTTCGTGCTCCGGTCCGGGAAGATCCCACGTGCCGCGGAGCGGCTAGGCGCGTGAGCCATGGCCGCTGAGCCTGCGCGTCCGGAGCCTGTGCTCTGCAATGGGAGAGGCCACAACAGTGAGAGGCCCGCGAACCGCGCGTGCGTGCACACTCACACACACACACACACACAAAATATATATATATATATGTAAGAACCAATGGACCTCCCTGGTGGCACAGTGGTTAAAAATCTGCCTGCCAATGCAGCGGGCACGGGTTCGAGCCCTGGTCCGGGAAGATGCCACACAGCACGGAGCAACTAAGCCCGTGCACCACAGCTACTGAGCCTGTGGTCTAGAGCCTGTGAGGCCCAACTACTGAGCCCTTGTGCCACAACGACTAAAGCCCATGCGCCTAGAGCCTGTGCTCCGCAACAAGAGAAGCCACTGCAATGAGAAGCCCACGCGCCGCAGCAAAGAGTAGCCCCCGCTCACCGCAACTAGAGAAAGCCTGCACGCAGCAGCAAAGACACAACACGGCCAAAAAAAAAGATGTAAGAACCATTCATTCCTAGCTTACAGGTTATACAACAGTGAGTGAGCAGGGGGTCATGGTTCACTGGCCCTGCTCTAGGAGCACTGGTCTGGGCACTAGGGGAGCTCATACATCCGGTCATTGTTTCTAGATCTTTTCAGTGCCCATGTCTGGGAAATACATACTTATTTTAAAGAGAAAACTTTTCATGAGTTCATACTGATATTTCTAGTTCATATTTAAGACTAGGATTTACTGAATTTATTTGATGTTCTGTTTGTAATTTAGGACATTTCTGTTTTTGTTTTGTTTTGCTATTTGTGTCACTTTAAAATATTTATTTATGGATGCTTTGGGTCTTAGTTGCAGCATGTGGGATCTTTTTAGTTGTGGCATGCGAACCCTAAGTTGCCGCATGTGGAATCTAGTTCCCTGACCAGGGATCGAACCTGGGCCCCCTGCATTGGGAGTGCTGAGTCTTAGCCACTGGACCACCGGGGAAGTCCCTAGGACAGTATGTTTTGGACCGTGGTCCCACACCTTGCTGAGTTCAGGGAATGATGTGTGTGTCTCCCAGGCTGTTCTCAGGCCAGTTCCCTGACAAGAATTGAAGGTGTCTTTCAGCCTTCTAGCCTGGGCTGCCTGCATGGGAGATATAGCAGGATCTCTGGGGCACTGTGTGCAGGCCTTGTACCCTGGGAATGCCAAGGCCCCGTGGAGCAGCATCTTTTCATTAGAGGGGCATTGTCCTTAACCACTCAGAATTTATCTTACTGGAGAACCTGACTTCCCGTTATGAGGTGCCTTGTGTCCTGGACCTCAAGATGGGTACGCGCCAGCATGGTGACGATGCTTCAGAGGAGAAGGCAGCCAACCAGATCCGCAAATGCCAGCAGAGCACGTCTGCTGTCATTGGTGTGCGCGTATGTGGCATGCAGGTGAGAGGAGTGCAGGTGCGTGGTGTGGGCTGGCTGGGGCATCCAGGAGCTGCCATTCTCCCATCGTGGCATAGTCCCATTTTCTCAAAAGATTCCAGATTTGAATGAACCTGCCACTTTCTGGTTAGAAAAGGAAGCATGCATGCATGGGTAATCGTCTCTGGGGCTGGCCTGGTTGGCTGAGTCCAGAGGCTGTGGACAGGAGGGGGAGAAAGGCAAAAAAGTTAGGCCCTCTCCACCAACACATACATTGAGCAGGGGGCTGGTGATGGAACCCGGGTTAGAGGGCTGTATCCTGAGTGGGTGTTGATTGGCAAGGACAGTGTCTCTTGTGATACTTAACAAGTTAAAGGATCTGATCCAGGGCTGTTATATCGCTGCCACTCCCCAGGGTCTAGGCCCTGAGATGGCTGTCAGCATCTTACCTGCTGGTCTCCCTCCCACAGGTATACCAGGCAGGCAGTGGGCAGCTCATGTTCATGAACAAGTACCACGGCCGGAAGCTGTCCGTGCAGGGCTTCAAGGAGGCACTTTTCCAGTTTTTCCACAACGGGCGGTACCTGCGCCGCGAGCTCCTGGGCCCTGTGCTTAGGAAGCTGACTGAACTCAAGTCCGTGTTGGAGCGACAAGAATCCTACCGCTTCTATTCAAGCTCCCTGCTGGTCATTTATGATGGCAAGGAGCGGCCTGAAGTGGCCCTGGACTCAGATGCTGAGGACTTGGAGGACCTGTCAGAGGAGTCAGCTGACGAGTCGGCTGGTGCCTATGCCTACAAGCCCATCGGCACCAGCTCGGTGGACGTGCGCATGATCGATTTCGCACACACCACTTGCAGGCTGTATGGTGAGGACAGTGTGGTACATGAGGGCCAGGATGCTGGCTATATCTTTGGGCTCCAGAGCCTGATAGACATTGTCACAGAGATAAGTGAGGAAAGTGGGGAGTGAACTTGCTGGCTGCAGCAGTACCTGAGAGACTCTCTGTGTCCCAGGCACAGCTGTGCTGCGTCGGGGAGGAGGCCAGTATGGCCAGGCGGTGGCCCCTGCAGCCTGGAGCTGATGCGCAGAGGCCTCCATGAGTCCCAGCCTGAGCCAGCCCCAACCACTCTCGGAGTCTTTATTTATTTTAACTCTCTCTCCAACATTCCACATTTGATGATGCAGATACCTCTTTCTTCCCTGAGTGTAAATGTTCTAATACAAATCTTTTTGTTAATTGTACACAGTGCTGCTGTCGTTCTTGCCCAAGGATAGGCAGCCAGCCCCCCTTCCAAACCTCAGAAACATCACATATGCCATGACCTCCACCCTGGCCCAGCAATGTATTCCTTCCAGTGACCCCATCCCATGGACCGTAAAGTCACCATAGCCTCTTGGCTTAGTCCTCAGTCCCTTAACCGAGCACCCACACACATAACCGTAAATGGGTCCCTCTGGGATCTGTGCTGGTCTGTCCCAGCACCCCTTATGCAGAGAACTATACTTGACTGTTGATACAGGTCTTTCCCTGCCCTCGTGTAGCTTAAGCCAAAGTTGGGCAGCAGGTGTGCCAAACCTTGGGTCCAGCTCCTGTGCCACTGGTAGCAGCTAATTGGCTGGACATTGTGATGTCAGACATCCTGGAGTCAATACTGGGGCCTCAGGAAGCCACCAGGCTTTGGTCTGTTGGCAGCCATTGGCTCTGTGGTCAAGGTCTTAGGAGGTCCCAGAAGGTGGGTGGCTTGATGGGAGGGGTTGTTCAGAGCAGTGTGGTCCTCTTGGCCACACCACCTGTCACCACTCCTACCCAGCCCTGGACCCCACTGCAACCACGCTAGTGTCATCCTTCATGTGGCTTCAGCCAGGGCAGCCCCTAAGAGAGCTACTTGTGCTCTGTGCTAGGACGGTTTCACGGAGAGGTGTGGCAAGAGGTCTTGAACTGCAGACCCAGACACCAGGGAGAAGGACACAGAACCAGTGCTAAGAAGGTAGGGTCTGGATGTCCAGTTTTAGCAGCCCCACCCCTTGCCTTGCCTGAACCTCCTAGCACCTCCTCTCCAAGGTCCACTATGCCTGTATCCACTACGTCCAAAAACAGGCCAACTGCATACACTGGCCTGGTTGTGCCTACAGCCCCTTCTCCCTGGGCCCAGGCTTCCAGAGGGGAATGTGGCTGGAGCAGCCCCTGGACAGGAATGGGAGGTCTCCAGGACCCTTAGGATCTCTCCCCGGGGTTTCTCCCTTCCCTCCTAGGACTTCAAAGACCTCACCAAGTCAGGGCTGACCGGAAGGTGGGCCAAACAAGCTCTTAAGGCCACATGGTGCCCCACTCCCCATCCTCCACCAGCCCTTCTGTCTGCTCTCAGAAGGAAGCATGAGAAATAAGATAACCTGGAGTTGTAAGTCCCCAAAGGCAACAGAACAGAGTGATGTGATAGCGATTGATAGGGGTGGGTGCCTGCGGACTTTATACTGTGAGGAAGGGAAGTGTGTCCCAGGCAGAGGAAACTATGCAAAGACCCACGTTACAGAGGACGAGAGAAGCTAGTAGCCGAAAAGAGGAGGTGGGGTGGGGAGCAAGGATGGGAGGACTTTGGACAGAGAAATGGCCCCCCGTGGTTTTTGTTTTTACCGTCCCCCCCTCACTCTTGCTCCCCGTTGCCCACCACTGGGGCGGTAAGCGGGGTCAGGAGGCCTAGAGACACCGAGCAGACCTGGGCCCCGCGGGCGCCTCCAAGTGTCTCAAGATCCAACAACGGGACTACCCTCACGGGGTCTCTGTCCTTATGTTAGTAGGTCAGGTCCCACTCCCCTGGGGTGGCAAGGACGCATGGGACTGTCAGCACAGGACAGAGGCTCTGTCTTTGGGCTGCGGGCGGAGCGCTCCTTCAGGAAGTAGGATGGGCCGCAGCACTAGGGCTTGGGCGGGTAAAGGGAGTGGAGGGCCGGGCGGGAAAGCTGGGTCTGGGGCTCTAGGTAGGGTGCTGGGGCAGGGAGTCGGGAGCTTGAAGACGCAGGAGTCCACGGAAGGGGCGGAAAGGGCAGCGGGTTCTCGGAGGCCGCGCCGGGCCGCACAGCCTGTGGACACCAGGGGGCGCCGCGCTTCTGCGCAGGAGCCGACACATCCTGGGGCGGGGCTGCGGCGGGCGGGCGGGCGCGCGCGCGCGCACGCACCGTGTGTCACGGGGCAGGGCGAGCGCGGTGAGGCGCTCCCGGCCTGGCGTCCCGGTTCCGCAGACCCTGCTGTCTCTCCTGACGCGGCCCGACTCACCCTCATGTACCGCGCGCTGTACGCGTTCCGCTCGGCGGAGCCCAACGCGCTGGCTTTCGCCGCGGGCGAGACATTCCTGGTTCTGGAGCGCAGCAGCGCGCACTGGTGGCTGGCGGCGCGGGCGCGCAGTGGCGAGACGGGCTACGTGCCGCCCGCCTACCTGCGCCGCCTGCAGGTGAGTGTGCCCCTCCCCGGCCCGGCCTCAGCCGTCCCTAGACTGAGCTCCAACATAGGCTCGCAGGACAGACCCCGGCACCCCAGGCCCGCCGGGACTTCCAGCAGATAAGTTTGAGAACCTGACCGTGAAACCCCAGAAGGACTGGGACCCTAAGAGCCCGCGCCCCCACCAAACACCAGGGCCTTGACAGCCAACTCTGAGGACTCAGATCTACCAAAAGCCCAGCTCTGGAACTGAGACTCCTCGGGATCCCAGAGCCATTGGGCCGCAACATCTGAACCTCCATCCGAATAGAATTAAAGAGTCAGTCCTGAGATTCCAGCACACCAAATTCTGAGCAGTTCCCCAGATCATTGAGACCCCAGAATTAATTGGCCCCTTCCTTGGATCACCAGGATCCCACACTTTTGCCTCCTTTTCCTCAGCTTCCACCACTGAGACCCGGGCAACCCTGGACACTGCCTGTTTCCCCACCATCTTCCATGCGTTTACACCCCCTCTCCCATTTGGACCTGAGAGCCATGGACACCCCCCTCCCCTAAATGACCCCCCAAGCCCTGAGACCTCAGTATCTTTTACTCTCCTGTACTCAGTCACCCCCTAAGCCTTTCCTAAGACACCTTCGTCAGTTCACTTTGAACCAGGGATCCCAGGCCCTGCTCACACTCCCTGGCACTACTCTCTTTCACAAGCCTCAGGCCCTGACTTTTCAGACTTTCTTTCTCTGAAGATGAGGGAGCTCCATCCCTCCTTGGCCCCCAGCCTGGGGTGGGGGCTGCTCCCATTGCAAGGAAATGAGACCTCCCCATGGCGTCCCCTGGTCTGGCTTTGGCCCCATTTCCTTCCAGTGGAGTCTGCAGCCCCAGTTCCTGTTTCCCCAAGAATAGTCCTGGTATGGGGGCTGGGATGTGTTGTCTCCAGCTGGTCTATTCTGATCAGAGGGGGAAGGAGGGCCTGGAGCCTCCAGGTCTGCCCTGTGCCAGACACCCCCGCCCCATCCTAGTCCATAGCCTTTAGGAAACATCCGTCCTAGCCCAGTTCAGGACAGAAATAACAGGATAAATTTGGAGATGTCATCTGGTCTTACCAGAGGGGATGGGCCCTGGTCCCTAAACCCTTGGCCTCATGGCATCTAGGACTGTCTGGGTAAGAGTGAGAGCCCTGGACACCAGGGCTGCTGGGTCCAGGGTGAGCATGTCAGACCCAGCCTCTCTGGAGCTGGGAGATTGTTGGAGGCCTCTGAGAAAAGTCCTGCCTCTTCCCCGAGGGCCCAAGAGGCCCCTCCCCTGCCTGGGCCACTGGGGCTGGGTGTTTGGGGAGGGCAGAGAGGCTACCATCTTGTCTATCTGTTGGTTTCTTGCTGCATATCTCTCTCTGCCTTCGTCTCCGTGGCTCTCTCTGTATCTCGGTGTCATTCTGACTCTCGGCTTGTGTGTGTTTCTTCCTCCGACTCTCTTTCCTTCTCTGTCTCCAAATCTCAATTTCTTTCTGCGTGTCTCCCTCTGCTTCTCTCTCTCTCCCTCCCTCCCTCTCTCTCTCTCTCTCTCCATCTTTCTTGCTTTCTGTGTATCATCTGTCTTTCTCTGTCCCCCTTTCTGTCTGCTGTCTCCTGCACTCTGACACGCCCCGTGCTACCTGGAGGGCTTTGTTCACCTCTGAGTCCATCTGTCTGTCCCCATCAGAGAAGCTTCTCAAACCCACTCTGGTGTGATGTCACCTTGGTTCTGAGGCTCCTATGCCTGATGGACCATGTGTGCCAGGGGCAGCGAAGGGTGGGAGTGGCTGGTCCCACAGCTGCCACCCCCTACTCTGTACCCCATGCCAGCCAGGCTGGGTAGATTGGACCCCTGTGTTGCTGCAGATGGCAACACAGAATCTGGGGCAGGGGCCAGGTCCTGCGCTCATGTCTGTCTTTTGCCACAGACACAGAACTGCTGCTTCCCAGTGCAGGTCTGGAGGATTCCTGGAACAGCTTGAGGGGATGGGGGCTGGCAGCAGGGGTGGAGAGAGGAGATCCCTTTGGCCTGTCCTCAGCTACCAGGGCCTACAGAAGGCTCTCTGAAGACAGGACCGTCCTGGAGTGTGACCTTGGTTTTGTGAAGGATCAGCGAGATCCAGAGTGATTTGTTAAGACTTCCAGACACTAGAGGCTCCCTGCTTGGCATCTCAGCCTGGGAGCTGAGCCAAGCCTGGGGATAGACTAAGTGTGTACTCCTGGCCTCAAACTGAGGGTCCATGGGCTGTGGTATTGCTCTAGACCCCAGGTTTTCGGCGACATCTTAGCTGAGAGCCTCACTGTGAGGTAAAATCCTGCGCGGGGCCCCAATATATAAAGCAGCAGCATGGGCCCTCCCCGTGGCCCAGCTCCCTGAGTGACGCAGTTTGAGAAGCCCATTTCATATTCTAGTTCAGCTTGCTGTGTTCACATCTGGCATTACAGGCTTTAGCTGTAGTGGTCCTTTGTCTGCCCCGGGCTCCATCCTGGGCTGGCTCTGGGCTCAGTACCTTACTTGGCCCCCAGGCCTAACTGCCCACCCCTGCCCCCACAGGGCCTGGAGCAGGATGTCCTCCAAGCCATTGACAGGGCCATTGAGGCTGTGCACAATGCAGCCATGCGGGATGGTGGCAAGTACAGCCTGGAGCAGCGCGGGATCCTCCAGTGAGTGGGGCGGGAGAACCGCCCAGTAAGCACCGTGGGGTGGGGTCCTTCAGTGAGTACTGGGGATGCCAGAGAGCAGTGTTGGTAGTGCAGAGTGGGGCGGAGCATGAGAGCGGTGGGAGGTTGGGGAGCCTGGGCTAGGGTGGGCCGCATCCCACGAGGAGCATGTGAGGACTTCGGGAGTCGTAAGGTAACTCCCCCAATAACCTCCCTGTCCCTCTCTCAGGAAGCTGATCCACCACCGGAAAGAGACCCTGTCCCGCAGAGGCCCCTCAGCCCCCAACCCTGCAGCTATGACCCCGTCCACCAGTGACCACCACCTGGATGCTGCTGCTGCCAGGCAGCCCAATGGGGTGTGTAGAGCTGGATTCGAGCGGCAGCACAGCCTGCCCAGTTCTGAGTATCTTGGGGCAGATGGAGGCCTCTACCAGGTACATGGTGAGAACATCCTGGGAAAGGGAGGTGGGTGGAGCTTAAGGCTTTGTCCAGAGGCGCCAGGGGTCCACTGGGGTCAGCGATGCCGCCCGGAACCATAGTCCTGCCCATGCCAAGCTCAGGGCTAGCCAGGTCATACCCTCAGATCCCACTTCTGTCCTCCCAGATCCCACCACAGCCTCGCCGAGCAGCACCCGCCACGCCACCCCCACCTGTGAAGCGCCGAGACCGCGAGGCCTTAGTGGCCTCGGGGAGTGGTGAGAAGGCGGGGTTGGGGGACTGGGGGGGCACCCTGTACTTGGAATGGTTACTCTGCCTATGTCAGGGAACTGGGGGCTCCAGGCTTGGGGGGAAGACAGGGCACGTGTCGGGGCAATTGGGGGTTCTGGGCTTGGTGGGAGGGTCTGGCATAGGAACTAGGCCCTGTACTGGGGGGCGGGGGCTCTGGGCTTGGAGGGGTTGGGGCCCCCAGGGGGCTGCCCTGGCACAGCATCCCCTCTCTGCCTACAGGCGGCTGCAACACCACACCCTCTGGGGGCAGTTCTGTGTCCAGCGGCTCCTCTGTCAGCAGCACCTCCCTTGACACACTCTATACCGGCTCCAGCTCATCGGAGCCAGGCCCCAGCTGCTCACCCACGCCCCCACCTGTGCCCCGCCGAGGCACGCATACCACTGTGTCCCAAGCTCAGCCCCCTCCCTCCAAGGTGCTAAACTCGGAGCCCCCTACAGAGGAGGTAGCAGTTGATACAGCCCCAGCCCCTGATGAGCTGGAAGCCCTGGGTGCACTGAGCCTGGGGACCACAGAAGAGAAGGCGCTGGCTGAGACTGCTGTGCCCAGGACCATTGGGGCAGAGCTGATGGAGCTCGTGCGGAGGAACACCGGCCTGAGCCACGAGCTGTGCCGAGTGGCCATTGGCGTCGTGGTGGGTCACATCCAGGCCTCAGTGCCGGCCAGCTCACCTATCATGGAGCAGGTCCTCCTCTCACTGGTAGAGGGCAAGGTGAGGGTGGGCAACAGGGCCAGGGGCCTCCCCATCCTGGGGCCGCCCTACAGCCCCTGCCCCTTCCCCACCCTCACACTGTGTCCAGCCTTTACCTCACAGGTCTTTGTTGAGCTCTAGCTCTTGGCTTCCTTGTGCTGGGTGCTGGGGACATTTGGGCTGATCCCTGAAGGAGAAAGGGAGGAAGAGTATTCCAGGCAGAGGCTCAGGCTGGACGGGGGCCACGAGGCAGGACTGAGCTTGGCTCACAGGAAGAAGTGGAACAAGGCCAGCATGGCTGGAACACAGAGGGTGAGGGAGGGAGCAAGTGGTGTGGTTGGAGGTGAGACCTGGGGCAGGTGACAGATGAGACAGCCGTGGGTGGCCAGGAGTTCTCTCAGGCTGCAGGGAAGGAATGGACATAAGGCATGAGAGAGGGCAGTGCCATGCTGGCCTTGTCAGTGGAGAGCAGTGGGTGCTTCGAGAGCTATGATGGAGGCCTGAGTGCTGACTGAGATGTGAATGAGGGGTGTGTGGATCATGGGCGGGTGGGATCCTTTGCCAAGGTTGGGGCACTGGTCAGGGAGCAGGATTGGGGGGCATGAGCCAAGTCTACACGGTGGGAGCCAGATGGGCCAGAGGTCTCTCCTTAGGGCTCCATGGCTCCTGCAGCTCTGGTTTGGGGTGTGGGGAGCAGTGAGTCAGTGGGCTTGCCTATGCTGGGACACTGGATCAAGAGGAACACAGCAGGTGGGTAGATGACAGGCCTGTCCCACTTTGTGTAGAATCAGGGCGTGGAGTCTCAGTCACATTCAGGTGGTGAGGAGTTGGTGGCCTTCCTCATGGAGGATGTTTATCCAGGTCTGGGACAGGAGGCAAGTTGTTGGAGAACACCCCACGGATGTGTCTCATGCAGAATCCTGTCCCAGACGGTTGTTAAGACTTGGGGGCAGTGGACTTAACTTGGGGAGGGGGTATAGAACTGGGTCAGTGTCCCTGGCGGCCTCGATGTTGGGGGATGGGCTGTGGGAGCAGGTCTTTTGTGGGAGCTTGATGGGAGCAGTGGGGAGGAGGGAAGAGAACTGGGGGCTGGTCCCCTCACCCTTCCTGGGACGACACTGGCTCCAGGCAGCTCTGGTAGGTGAGGCTGGGGCCCCCTGCCTGACACTGGCCTGGAGCTCATGCCATGACCTCAGGGTCTAGGTTGAACTCCAGGCCTTGTGGGCCTCCTGGAGATGGTGTGGGGCAAATGTGCTGAGCCAGACCTCTTCCTCCAGGACCTGAGCACTGCCCTGCCCTCAGGGCAGGTCTGCCACGACCAGCAGCGGCTGGAGGTGATCTTTGCAGACCTGGCCCGGCGGAAGGATGACGCACAGCAGCGCAGCTGGGCCCTGTATGAGGACGAGGGTGTCATCCGCTGCTACCTGGAGGAGCTGCTGCACATTCTGGTGCGGGCTGGGTGCCCCCAGGTGTCCCCCACCCCTGCCCCATCCCTCCCCAGTGCTCGGGAGTCTCCCCTGCTCGTCCTCAGCTCACTCACATGTGGCCACCTCACACTGAGTGACTCCATCACACTTCGTCCTCCCCACAGACGGATGCAGACCCTGAAGTTTGCAAGAAAATGTGCAAGAGGAATGAGTTCGAGTCTGTCCTGGCCTTGGTGGCCTATTACCAAATGGTGTGTGGGAAACAGAGGGGAGGGGGCACAGAGGGACCTGGGTAGAGGTGGGGGTTCCAGGCATTGAGCACACAGGGTCCCCTGCCAGGAGCACCGGGTGTCGCTGCGGCTGCTGCTCCTCAAATGCTTCGGTGCCATGTGCAGCCTGGACGCAGCCATCATCTCCACACTAGTGTCATCTGTGCTGCCTGTGGAGCTGGCGCGGGACATGCAGACAGACACGCAGGGTGAGTGAGGGGCAGCTTCCTGCCAGCTGGGGAGGTTCCCGCCATCTGGGGGGGCTCTGACCGCCTGCTTTGCTCCCCCGCAGACCATCAGAAACTCTGTTACTCCGCCCTCATTCTGGCCATGGTCTTCTCCATGGGGGAGGCAGTGCCCTATGCACACTATGGTAAGAAGGCAGGTCACTGACCAGCGGACCACAGGGAGCCCACAGCCCGCTGGAGGTGGGGCCCATGGCCCAAGGGGCTGGGCACCCACTGACCGTAGTCTGACTGAATGTCTCCAGGGCTCACAGAAACCCAGGGAGGCTGGTGGTGTGGGGGGGTGTGACGGGGTCTGGGGGCTGCAGACTTCCACGTGCCCCTCTCCCAGAGCACTTGGGCACACCCTTCGCCCAGTTCCTGCTG